CTGGCTATTTTCAGGCTACTCAAGACAGGCTACGATATTATATCCACAAACACTTTTTTCTCTCTTCCTGTTTCTTGCTTAATTAGATGTTAATCTACATTGTATCCCTCTTGAGAAAAATTTAGCAAAAATATATACGTGGTCTTCTGTCAGCGGAATTATTTATTTTATATATATAGAAACCAAGTAATAGCAAATCTCTCCATTAAGAACTGGCGTAGAATAAAACAAGCAATTAATCTTTTCTGCTATTTGACTGTACCTTCAGAAACTTCATTATTACTGGCTGCTGTGTATTACTGTAATTGTGAGGAATTTTATCCTTTCTGCTCCTTTTGCCTTCGTGGTGTAATTAGAAACATGTCCGTTTTGTAATCGGGAGGTCAGACCTTCGAATGGTGGTGAGAGCCTCAGTGATTTTTCATTTTTATTTCTTCGAAATAAACTGAATGATTCTACACAATATACTTTATATGTTGAGGAATGCGACTGATTAAAAATCACCAAGTAATTTCACTTTTGTAAGTTCCTCAAATTTCCAGTGCATCGACGCTTTAAAAATATACAACAAACTGCTTTAAAACTTGATTGTAAGAAAAGAAACTGCTATAGATGACGCGTTATTTGCTGATTAAAAGTTCGAAAGAAACATAGCAGGGAAAATTTTTGATAGTTGCATACAACTGACACCCTTAATAATTCTACTTTTATTAGATGGTGAAACGTTAATAGCTTGTTATTTTTTAATTAGGTATCAGTTTTGAGAGAGATTTTTGCATTTAAAGCTGTTTCAATTATATTTCAAAAGAATCAGTCACAAAGGAAAAAATTTAAAAACCTGAAACGGTGCAGCTTTTAAGGAACGCGCAAAAGATTTTATTAAGGCTTTTTGTCTTCTTTCTGAGCTCGCAGTCTACCATTTTGTCACTCCCGCTAACCCATTTCTTTTTGTTCTTTTAGCTTTATAATTAAGGATAATTTTTTTTTTCCATTTATGCCATATACAATTCAACAGAAAAATTACAAAAAATTTTAAAAACAGCATAGCAGCATTTGTTTAAAATTTTACATTCATTTTTCTGTTTCTTTTTTTTTAGTTTTCTCCTCAGTTCGTCATCTCAATGTTCAGTTTCCTCAGTAAGATGCACTCCTTGCATACATTTCTTGAGACTCTTGATTACTGTCTCTAGTTCCTCTAATCTTTGATCTATAATGCTTTTGTATCAAGATATCTCCTTCCACAAACGTGGGTTTTATTTTCGTTACTCGGAGCTTTTCGTTGAAGATTTTGTTCATCAAATTTGTCTTCAGTAGTCTTACCGCAGCTCTGATTTTCCAGTTTGATAGTTACTCTCAAATTGGAACATTTGCAAAACTTTCTTTTTCTTTTTTTTTTTTTTTTTGTCTTTTTATATTAGCCTTTTGTGAGTTAATTTTATTTATAAAATATCATGTTCTTCGCACTTAAGCTGCATAAAATTCAACAGCAAAATGACACAATATTTAAAAACATCACATCTTTATAATTTCCGATATACAGTCCTGCCCGCTGGATAAAAAGAAAAATGTTTTATTCTGTCCATTGTTGCCCCTGCTCGCTTGCAAGTCGTTGAGTTTGTTAATCAAAAATTTATTAAAGTTTCATAAAATATGAAATAAAAAATTCGAAATTCAGAATTAGGGCTTTCAGGTGCACATGTTCGGGTGAAGGACTACGTTATTCAAAATTTGACGGCTTTAGGTACGGTCGTTTTTTCACAAGCGAGAAAGATACATACATACATGTTTTTCATTATTTACTTTCTTTAAAAGTAATTAAGGGCGATCATATCTGGTGGCAAAAATTTGAAAAGTGGTACAGCCGTTCGTACTGGACAACACAAAATCCCGTTTCGAGACTAAACGTCCATGCCGGTTAACTCTCTTTTGGGATAACAGTCACTGTATGCTGCAAATGCTAGAAAATCTATATATCTTATTTATCTTCACTGATTTTTCCCAGAACAAAATTTTCTACCAGACAGACAAAAAAAAAAAAAAAAAAAAAAAAGTAAAAGAAATTATCACTGTAAATGTTTGATTTTTCATCATATTTCATCTTTCCAACCTGTTTTGTATCTCAAAAAAATACTCGTCGTATATGTTTGAACTATTAAAAAATTTTAATCATTAAATTGATGTTAAAGTTATGTTTGCAACCTTTTTATTGAGTTGAAAAATTATATTGCACACATATTTTCGATAATGATTGTATACCTTAACTGCAACTGGACGCTAAACGTGACCTAACTGATACAAGAGAGAGAGAGAGAGCACTGTTCACATAAAAATATTTTTCTGCACCTCCTCCATTGAAGATAACGAGATATTGCCAAATATGTAGTGATTGGGGAAAATCCAGACTCTAAGTGTTTATAGAAGTTCTAACTGACCTCTGTAAGTTAATCGGACACCAGCCTAATGGACCGAGGGAAGAGGGATATTGATATCCTCCTAAAGATGAGGAATGAGCCAGACAAATATTTGCTCTTGTTTTACGTTCACTTTCGATGCAATATAAAGTTTCCTGAGAAATACTGAAGCGGAGAACTGTAGATTAGACGAATACTATTTTTGTTGTGACATCGTATTTTGTTTTGCTCGTTCATGAAATGGTCAGTCTTTAACAATGGCATAATACCTCGTTGTTGAATCAACACAATGGAAATAAATTTCAAGCGAGAGGTTTTTCTAATCTGTTAATGTCATTTAAAATACGAGAAAAATATAAGATGTTACTGTTTGAGAAGAGGATAAAATCCATATTGCTTGGTCTGCTTGTTAGATTTTAATATATATATATTATTTAATGGATTCATTTATATATTATGCAACTGATTTTAAACATTTATAAGTTTAAATTTGAAAGGAAAACGGGAGCAACCATTTAAAAAAGTTAATTGCTTGTGTTTCACAAATTTATCTAATAATCATATCAACAGATATTTCGAGGGAGATACCCAATTTAATAAGTATATTTGGTTCTAACAAACAAGGAGCTCAAAATCAATGCCACATGTACATGAATGAATACAGGTCAACACTTGGGCATTCGTTCATATTTAGCGACAATAAATAATTGAAATAATAAAATTTAACAAAGGTTTTCCTTGTACTTGTTTCAGAAGCACTATACTGAAAATATTTATTGTGACGCCTGATTTCTATCTCTAGTTTCCCCAATCTTTCATTTATAATGCTTTTGTATCAAGATTTCGCCTTTCACAAACGTGTGTTATATTTTCGTTGCTTGAGGCTTTTTATTGAAGATTTTGTTCATCAAATTTATCTTTCTCTACGTCATTACATCATATAAATATAAATCTCTTCATTTCGGCATCAAACCCAGTATTTTTGGCAAAGCCTAATGATCTTGGAATGATAATAATTTATACAGTTCGACTCTTAGCATATCTCTTTCTAGATGCATGGAGAAGTGCTAAAGCCTTGAAACACTGGTAGTTTATTCTATGTTTAATTCTTGGAGATTCTTCCTTCTGGTTGCACGGAGGCGTCCCTAAAGTCTTTGAACGCTGGTACTTTTCCAAGGTTCGATGTTTGGAAATTCTGATTTCTGGATGCATAGAGGTTTCGTGCTTTTCCGAGGGTATAATGAAAATGTGAGCTGATTTTCTATATAAAATCTCCTTCACAGTCATTCCTCTCTAAGCAGATAGTCCTGGAAGGTTTGGGTATGATAATCTGCCAACTAAACTTTCATTACTTTCTTCAAATACTCTTCTGCATTCCTAATAAAATCAGTCCCGAACTCCAGCTGATGTGTTTTCGACTCACGTATCTCCTGAATGATAATTCACGATAAAAATATGAATCTGGGTGAACAATAAGAATAACTTCCGATATCTCTGTTACTTTCCAAGATGTTGCAATCATTTTTCGGAAACGTGAATTGAACAGATAACATTCTGAAACGTGAATAGAATCACACTTGATATATCCGTAAGCGCAAAATGAGAAATTCTGAAATCAAAAACGCTCAAAAGCTCTACGTCCAAAACAGATTTGAAATATTACCCAGCATAGTAGTGAAAAATACAAAAGAACTTGTGGTTTTACTCCCAGATAACTCATCCGTATAGCAATAGAAGTGAAGAAATATTCTTAAAATGTAACAGAATTGTCTCCCACGAGTATAGGCACTAAAACCAGTTGGTCCCAATTAGTCTATTCCCAGTTTTCTGATAACTATTCTAGATGACGGATGTAAAGAAAAAGAATTCGCCTTACTTGGACTGAACACATGACCTTTGAATCACTAGATAGATATATTACTCTATATACCCAAGAAACACAGGAAGAACGCCTTAATGTTTTACAAAATAAATAAAAGAATTTTGAAAAGCATAAACAGCTTTCTAATATTCGCCTTAAATATATGCATAAAAACCCATCTTTTTTAAATTACACTTTTTTCTACCTCAGTTCTTGCAACTGTGCAAAGTTAAAATAGTGATTAATCGATTTAAAAATGTTATGTAGCAATGCAATAATATGCAGCTTTATGACGTTTATTTTGCTTTTAAAAGGACTGTTACGAAAGCATAATTTTTGTTTCGGGAGTACGTACATCTCTTTGGGGAAACTGGGTTTTTTACCAATATTAATTGAAAGCTGTACGAAATAATAAAGTAAAATAATTATTAAAAGTACTGAATGTTTAAAGCAATGCTTAGCTGTACGATGGATATGAATTTAAATTATTTAAAATTTACAACGAAGTTACTTGCAATGAGAAAAGAAGTTAGCTCGATAGTCTCAAAAAAAAATTTCAAAAAATGTAAGTAAAGTTAATTATTCCGCTAAAACAGGTAAATCATCAAGTACAATTCTAATAAAGAATATCTATGCGTATGCAGTTTTAAATATAAATAATGATTATATATTTAAATTTTACATGCAGATATAATTATGCATTACAAAATTGCAAAGTCTGTACTCACACGGCAACCGAACCACCCTTCACACTACCAATTAATGTAGTCAGTAATAACAGGTAAGACGTACAAACACACTTCGAATGTGTTGTGCTCAGGAAGTCTCGAAGCGATTTTCTTGAGACGCCCATGAAAAGAAACATAGACCACGAGCTGAAGAAAATGGCAAATCCTGAAAAGAGATCAAATGAAATATTAATTTCTCTTAAATGTTGATAGAATACAATGTTGAATAAAACTGGCATATAAACGTTTTCAAAAATACTTACTTTCACAGCCGTGCTTACTAATCAGCCAATCACTTTCTGTCTCAAAATCTAACAACCTCAACTTAAATACTCAATCTAATTTGTATTCCGACGAGGAAACGGAGGGAGGGAAGACAGTAAAGATCCAAAATATATAAGGACTAGTTGATGAAAAATAATAGTAACTTTACATGCTTTTGGAAAATAATATTAATAAATATGGTAAAGATAAAATGTGACATTTATTCAAAACCTGAGCAAGAATGCCATTTTATTGGAAAACTACAGACCGAAAGTCATGCGTGCATTATCCACAAGAAGCAAAGTTAAAGAGCGGGTTCAAATTTAGCATATGGAGCTCCTTTCCGTCGCATCTTGCATACAAGTAGCGTGGCATTAACTGACATCACTCCAGGAAAAAGCAACTTATTCTTCTTTAAGATTTAACAAACATAAGATTTAAAAGTAAATCTTTTCTCAGCTTATTCTACACGAAAATTCTAAACGACAAACAAATTCAAGCTCTAACAGCTAGTAATATTCCTTGGTAAAATAAGTGAATGTCAGAAACCTTCCGTGTCTCAGTTGAGCAGGTGTTATATTTATTTTATTGTGAATAATAATATGAAGTATTTTCTCCCTCCTTTCGGCATGCCTTCGTGGTGCAAAGGTTAGCACATTCGACGCGTATTCGAGAGGTCCATATTCGAGTTCCGGGGAAGGCATTGCTTATTTTTCATGTGCTTCTGCTTCAAAAATACCTAATGACTCTACAAATATGTACCAAAATATAAAAAATATCCTACAACATGGGAGCTTGCTATACCGATCGTACTGCCATCTAAATCACTCAGCTTCAAACTCGGTATCATGCAGATTACTGAACAATATATCTGATACTAACGACCGGTACAAAAACAAAAAGAAATACATTTTGAAAACCAAACATATTCAAAGCGTTGGGACAATTATATCACTTCCTTAACATTCAGTTTACTCTTTCCTGTTCTTTTCCGTTTTCATCATTCAAGATTCGTTCAATCCAGAAAATGATGTAAATTTTAGTTAACACGAGCGGAAAATGTAAATAACTCTAATTCTTAATTGCAGCTTTTGATTATCGAGGATTGCTTTTTGCATACCCGAATTGTTTCGCCGCTACTCTATCCTACCCTTCCGTAGCTCTGACAGTAACCGCGATTAGATATTAGAAATTCGAAACTTATAATTAGGCAAGTATGTTTTATAATTGTTAGCGGCTTAGGATATTTTCTGGAAGATGTATTTCTATTGTGCGTTGTAAATTGCTTTAAGTGTGTCAAACTACAAGTAGCTGCAAAATAAAATTTCATCGTCTGTTCTTTACGTTTATTTTGTAAGTCATCGTTCTCATGATTCCGATACCCTGTGACCCCTTTAGGTTTTAGTTCGATTTACAAACATAATTTTATGTTGCAGATACAGCGCTAGTCATTAAGAAGAATACGGCAAAACGTTTATTAGTTTAGGAAAAAGATCGGGATCTCAAAGAGCAATTGTCGTAATCACATATTTACTTAGAACAGTCATATCAGATGCGTCACATACAAACACGTGGTGTAATCAATGAAATAAGAACTCTTTTCAAATAAGGCTCACAATTGGTCCTATTTATCAACTAAGGCTTCAGATCCTTGAATTTCAATAATTTAAACTTACCTGTTGAGGAATTTTGCTGTGGTATTATCTGTCGTGATCTCACTGTACGTTTTACTCATAATGAATGAGCCATCCCTTCTTAACACTTCTCAATTCTTCTTAACACTCTTTTCTTCTCTTTCTGTAACACTTCTTTTTATATTCCTTACATAAAAGTTCTATCTCTGTATCTTTTATGTCAAATCCAGTTAATGGAATGAATGGAAGTTATGAACTCAGGAGCTTCTTGCCGTTAACACCAAAATAATATGATACCTAAGTATTCAAGTGTTTTCATGAAAACAAAAGATATCAGTCTAACGAAATTTTGGCAAATCATGTTCGCAACATAATAATAATTTCATTTTCTTCTTCGTTTTAAATGTGAATTAGTGAAGATAGCCAGAACTAAAGTCATATAATTTATTGCATTTCATTATGAAAAACAGTATTTACGACCTGTAATATTAATGCTTATTTACGACCTGTAATATTAATGCTTAAGCTTAGACATTAGGTATTTTTTGAAAGCAGGAGAGATAGAAAATGAGCAACTTCTTCGTCGGAACTCGAACCACTGTCCTCTCGAATACGCGTCGAGCGTGCTGACTACTACACTACGAAGGCATGCTAAGAAGGCGGGAGAAATACCTTATATACTGCCTCTTTTAAAGGGCAAAGGGGGATTAAGGGAACCAATCGCCAAATCCTGGTGGCGTAGAATCATCATCCACCACCTTTTTTAGTTCGGGCACCACTGTATAGACAGTAGGTGTTTTTTGAAAGCAGAAGAGATAAGAAAATTAGCAACGCCTTCGCCGAGATTCGAAGCACGGGCCTCTGTAATACGCGTCGAGCGTGCTGACCACTACACTACGAAGGCATGCTAAGAAGACGGGAGAAATACCTTATAAGCTGACATACAAGAGAAATATTTTCTCAAAATCGCAGGATAAGCTAAACAGATTGTTTTTCAAAGAATTTATTATTATCGAAATATAAATTGCCGGTCTTTCTTGAAATTTAGAATGGGCTATGAAGATGCTACAAAGTACAGGTTATATCCAAAAGTTACCTGATACAGATTTTTTAGAAGCCCAGAGTCACGGTACTATTAAACAATTAGATTCCTACGCAAGGAATCCGCGTATGAACAGACTGCGATAAATACGTTTAATTCTCTTCAATAGTCCTTAAATTAAAAGATTAAAACAGATTGCAAAAAAGGTACTCGAAAATTTAGTTAAACCTGATGAAAAAATTATTTGAAGATAATGCTTTGTTAAAAGAATAGAATTACAACATCATAAGTTACTACTAGGCAATCCTATATTAACGCCAAGTATTCTGTCAAGTATCTGTCATATACTTCGTAAGTGTCATTTAATGCAGCTGCACTTCTGTCATTTGCAGTATTATATAACCTCGTAATTTCATTTTTCAAAAGGATGTAGGCAACGTGTGAATTTCTGGATCTACACATTCTTCTGAAAAGTTCGGTGGTTGCTTAACAATATAACGTAATTGTAAATAAAGAGACTGAAGAAAGAGCTTGTAATATGCGCATGGAAGTATTATCACCTTAAAGATTATTTATAAATATTTTCTTTAAATAAAGAATTATTTTTAACAGATAGTTGATACTTTTTAATGTAGAATACATATTTTAAATTACAGATTATTAAAATTACAGTACATAAATTTTATCTTGCAACCAGTTATGAAATAAGAGATGTATTGGAAATTCATAAAAACATCCCTCCAACTACAGAAAGAAATTCAGCTGAAAACCTTTGAAACTTGAGAAGAATATCATATTTTACTAGATTTTAGTTTTAAAATTTTATTCAAATTTGTTAATGTTAATCAAATGCTTAAAATTTAACTTCAGACGAACTAATACTTCTTCGTAACGAATTGATTTAAAACATAATAGTTCTTTCAAGCAATGGTTATTTCAAGCTAGATGGGTCTATTATATCTGAAAAAAATATTTATACAAAATTTATGAGTACAAATAAAACACTTAACAGAATATATTAATTAAGTACTATAAGCTTATAATCTTGGGTTATGCCATATCTAATATAAAAATAACTAAAGGTTTAAAGACAAATTCTTATTAACCTTCTCCTCTCATTTCTAAAAATTCGATAGCTTTATGAATTATTCACAAACGCACAATATTTCAGTTTCTAGTTACGCAATATGTCACTAAAGAGGGAACTTCTAATCAATAAGATACCTGTCTAGACCAGTAAACGAATGGCCCGAAGAAAAGGAAGAGTCTGAAACACCTGTGATGGCAAGAGGGACCTCAAAAGAAACTGACATAATAAATCTCCAAGAGAAATCTGAAGCGCTGCAAAGAAAAGAAAGGATATTTCGAGGAAAAAATCCCAGAGAAGGGAAATTCAAAAACCTACTTAAAGTCTGAAAACGGAATAAATTATCAAATGCTGACTTCTCTGTTTTGTCTGTACACCTATACTTCGTGTAGTAGAAAGCAGAAGATTAAGCCATAAAATGTAGCTTTAAAAATGTATTTTGATCTCGAAATGTCACATATTACCTGCAGCTGCAGCTGGAAATAATCTTAAAAAACTAAAGATCAAGAAGCATTTTTTCTCGATAATAATCTATACAAGACGGCAAAAAAAACTGAGAGTTCAAACAAAAGTTTCACTCAGAAACGAAGTGAGGCCCACCAGCAGCCAAGCGGTAAAATCGCTAAGCATTGGTAGTTTATTTCGGGTTCGAATTCCGGCAAATGGACCGGCTGCGTGGGCATATTCGTAGTTTTTCCCATGTGTAATGGGTATACGAGCCAGATTCTCTTAAAAAACTGCCACGAAAACATCCCTCCCCTTGGTCAGATAGACCTCAACTTTGCCGTAATTAAATAAACCAAATCAAACCCAAAAGAAAATGTGTTAGCTAATAATAAGGATTGTGAAAGGCGATCTTTGTTCTTTCAGCAACTTGGCCGATCAATTTGTTACAAATTAAAAGTATCACGAATTTTGGCGTGTAAGACATTTTTCAAGATTGAGAACATTTTTATTTAAGATTAAAAATATCAATAGAAAGAAGATCAACCACAACGGATTACTGGCCTGACGCTGATATATATATATGTGTGTGTGTGTGTGTGTGATGTACCAGCTTTTGTCCAGAATAAAAGATTGGTGAAGAATCATAAAATGTAGTCGTAGCTTAAATTATCAGACGATAAGTTTAAAAA